TCTCTCTCTCTCTCATTTATATTGGATGACTTGTTTTAGTGTAGTATTTTTTTTAAAGATTATGACTAAAATACAATGTCATTTCATATTGAGCATTGATATTGAGTGTGGGAGTGTTTGAAAAACAAACAAAAATTTTGGAAGAATAGTCATTTTAATTATTGCTGTATTTCCTAATAATACTTTTTTCCTTTGGATCAATTTTGACTCCTGGAAACTACATGGACAAGTTTCCTTGGCAACGTTTTTGAAAGTGGTTTTCCATTGCCTTCTTCCTAGGCCTGAGACAGAGTGATTGGCCCAAAATTACCCAGCTGGTCCATGCTTAAGACAGGAATAGGACTCAGGTTTCTCCATTTCTGGTCCAGTGCTTTAACCAGTAGATCATACAGTCATTTTATGACTGTGTTTTTTAATTCTACCTTGGTTTTACATAACAAAGATTCATAATTGTATTTTTAAATTATTTCCAGTTCTTGGTAATAACATCTAGTTCTACTACTGCATAGAATTAACCCAATTCAATTTGTAATCACATACCTACTGTCCTATAAAAGAAAATCCTTCTAGAAATCACATTACTACAGAGCAAATAGTTCAAAAAATTAGAAAAAAATATCATGCTGAGATGGTAAACATATTTGTAAAGAAAATAAAGGAAACAGGCAAACAAAGAAATGCCAAGAAGGGAAGAGGAAGAGAGGCCCAGTCTTCCTCATAGCATTCCCAGCAGCAACCCAGGTTTCCTTTGGAGGGCAGCTTGGCTGAAGGTATTGGGTTTGTAGAGCAGAGCATGGGCATAGTTACTGAAAAAGAGAAGCAACCAGGCCATCTGCCAGGATGACATTCAATCAATCATGCACGTTACCTGGTGGAATCAATGAAGGAATACTTGAACACACCCGTTGAGCCCTGGGCGGCCTGCCAGGACCTGGCTACATTTTCCTAAGGGTTGCTATTATGCCATCAACCAGCATATCAAGCAAGAGGGTGTTTCTGATGATGGGCAACCTTTTTGCATCTCATCACAGCTGTTTGACATGGATTTGGTGGAGCAGTTCATATTTTCGGAATCAATTTCACTTTTCCTCTGTAATTGTCCTTTCAATTGTTCTATCCTGTTTAATTTTTCATTTAAAGTTATATTGAAATCTATACTTGTCCAGCTCACTACCTCAGGTCCAATAGAATTTGTTTTGTTTTGTTGTTCCTCCAGTGCAACTCATAACCGTAAATGTCATTATGCTTCTTGCTGTCCATGTACAGTGTGCCTGTCATAATACAGAGACTGTTTCTGCCTAGCTAGGCTGTTTCTCAATTCTGTCAGCCACTTTCTCTTCTTCCCTATATGTGAAAGAAAGTTGTGGCAGTTTGGATGGTGGCCCAGCATGAGCCAAGGGCAAACTTTAAAAGACATTAGGCATGTTATACAGCAAAGTTTTAGTTATGTCCAGCATCTTTGTATTTTTTTTAAAGAATTTTTAGGAAGGGCAAGATCTTTGCTGAACTTAAAAAATGTGGAGAGAGAACTTGTCTGTGGTCCTCTAGACTTGTGTTCAGTGCTCCAGCTGTAGCAGCACCTCTTTCTCATGCTGCAGAGAGAGCTATTACCTTACTGTTATGAGTATCATAGTTTACTGCTATTAATGTGCTTATCTAGAGTCTTTGTTGTAATTCACAGTATGATTGTCAGTCCAGTGCATTCAATAAATAGCTGTTAGTAATGTGAAGATAGGAAACACATTGTTTAATGTTCTGTTTTTGATGGTTTCTGTGGAGGCCAAAATAACCTTGCAGTTCTGTTAAACTGAGAGAACAACTAATTCTGGAAGGAAGGCTGATTGTAATTTAAAAAATAACTGATCTCTTTCTATCTTTAATCTTTCTTCTAGCCACTTTATGAATACTTTTCAACATGATGAAAAGGTTTCAGATTTGTACTGTAGGCAGATAGAAATATAATTGGTTGTTTTTGGTTTAGCGTAATCTGTGAAGCCATACCAAAATCAAATCTTCATTTATTATTTGGCAAAATATTGTAGTTTGAAACCACAATTTATTGTTATTTTTTAAATAATGGTGTATCTTAACACTAGCCTGCCACTAGATACTTGTGCATAGTACATCTGTCTTTGGCTTTGGCTAATCATGAGACACTCAGTAAATGATTCAAACAGACCATTGTTGATAATAGTTTCCATCTATTTCCCCCTCTCCCCACTTGTGATGCCCCAGAAACTTATGGTTGACCAACAGAGGATTGTAAAAAATAAAAATAGGCAGATGGCCTGATTGGGACTAGAGCCATTGTATGTGGGTGAGTGTGAGGGAGATGGCTAATCATAACTTGGAGCAGTGGAAATACTGGGCAAGGATTGGTTCTCTTTTGGATCTGTTCCTAGTACCTAACCTAATGACCAGCAGCGGGAAGCGAGAGTTAATCATTTTTTAATTCTGTAGCTTGGATGGCATGCAGAACAATGGCTAACTGTAAGCCATGATTCCTGACTGTGCTTGCAACAGAGAATCTTAACTACAGTATTAGGCATAAGGAGGGTTAGATGACCTGCTTAATGTAACTCTGGTATGATACAATGTGTCATGTGAATGATGTCTGAATTGTAACTTATTCTTCAGGTACTAGTAAAACAAATGAAGATCTGCTGGCAAACCGTAATTAATATGTCCATTTGCAAGAGAGATTTGGTTTATTCAATAAAGCATTATTAAAATAAATCCTGCCTTGTGCAAAGGCAGTTAGTGTTTTTTCTCTGCTAAAAGTTGCCAGCTTCCTAACTCTTCCATGATAGTAGCAGATAATAATCCTGGTTTTAAATTTTAGTTGATTGGAATTATTGTTGGTCCTTAACTGTGATTTAATATTTTGCTAACAGACTGCTTTAGCACAATTACAGGTGTTCCTCAACTTACGACCATTTATTTAACAACCATTCAAAGTTATGATGGAGCTCAAGTGACTTATGACCGATCCTCGCACTTACGACCGGCGCAGCATGATAAAAATTCGGACACTTGGCAACTGGCATGTATTTATAATGGTTGCAGTGTCTCAGGGTCACATGATCACCATTTATGACTTTCTCAGCAAGCAAAGTCAATGGGTAAAGCCAGATTTGCTTAACGAACATGTGATTGGCTTAACGACTGCAGCAAGAAAGGTTGTAAAATTGGGTGCAACTCACTTAACAATCGCATCACTTAGCAATGGAAGTTCCAGTCTCAGTTGTGGTCGTAAGTTGAGGACTACCTGTAAGAAGTGAGAAACAGGCAAGAATTTGCTCTAGGGAAGGAGCACATATCCCCCAGGGCACATATACTTATTTTAATTGAGGATATGCAGCCTTACCATTCATGAGATCAAACCACCAACTATATACCTGATACATGAAAGCCATCACAGTTGGGTAGCTTTTTCGGCCACATCAGTAGCCAATAAGGGCTCGTATACATTCTCTTGTACATAGCAGTCCATGTTGTAGATCCTGGAAACTAACAGCCTGGATAAAGAAAAAGTTTGAGATTTGGGGCGGTTTTGTGGTCCGCAAAACATATGGCTTAGAATTGCAGAAGGCCGGTAAGCCACAGAATGTCCACTGCTAGTATATGCTGTTTTCAATGTGACATTTGTCAGGAGCATAGCATGTAATTCCACTTGGATATGAATTGAGAAGTAGTTCTTATATACACACAGCATGTTTTAAGAAGAATTTTACAGGTAGTCTTCAGGTTACAACGGCAGTTGGGACTGGAATTTCCACTGCTAAGTGATGCAGTCATAAAGTGTGATGTCACGTGACTGCATCATTTAGCAACAGCAGTCCCAGTTGCCATCCTAACCCCAGGACCATGTGGAGGGGTGGGCAGGTGCCTCAAGCAGGTTTTCCAGACTATGAGGGTGCCACAGGGGAAGTGGGAAGGCTGTGGGCAGGCACTACAGAGTGCAGGCAGGTGAAAAAGCGACTGGAGCAACTTCCAGCTTCCTGTCAGCTTCCCCTTTGACTTTGCTTGTGGGAAGCCAGCAGGAAACATTGGAAATTGCAATCAGGTGACCACAGTTCACTGCGATGTCGTAATCACGAGCTGGGCACCAAGCGCCCAGATCGCAATCATGTGACAGCAGGGGCACTGCAACAGCCAGAACTTTGAGGATAGATTGTAAATACCACCAATTCAGCACTCTCATAACTTTGAAGTCACTAAACAAGTAGTCATAACCTGAGGATTACCTGTATTTCAGTCTGAAGAAAGGTGAAGAATGGTTATTTATATTTTAGCTTGAAATTTTCTGTATTTGACTTTGTTTAGATATGACCACTTCCCTAGGAGTCAAACGGTATAAACACTACAAGAATTTGAGGATATAATGATTTATATCATTACTTCAGAATGTCTTAATAGTTGCTAGCATTCATGTACTCTCAATGCCAGAAGTGTAGAGAAGTTTTAAGATACTACCATTATTCAGCAGAGTATTACTTGGATTAATTTGTGTAGTATAAAAATTCAGGTTGTAAATAACATTGGCTTTGATTCTTATGGTTTAAAATGATATGATTATAATATATAACCACAGTGGAAAAAAATAGGACAATATAAGTATTGGCTAGCTGAGGTTATATGTGGTTTATTTTGCTTTTGCCTTTGAATTCTTATTCCTTAGTAATTTTATATTCAGAAAGATCAGTCCATTAAATTGTACATTAAGCTAAATAGCTCAACACTTTTTAAAGAAAGAATATTTTCTATATTTTCAACATGATAATTTGTTTTGACTGTAGTTTTCACATACGTTATTATTTCAGATTTGTACTATGGTGGAGAAGCTTTCTCTGTAGAGCAGCCACAGTCTTTTACTTGTCCATATTGTGGAAAAATGGGTTATACGGAAACATCTCTTCAAGAACATGTTACTTCAGAACACGCAGAAACATCAACAGAAGTGGTAAATATAACAGATATGCTTCTTAATAACAGAAAATAATTGTTTTTTGTTGCGAGTTGCCCAAATTTCTTTGCACAATGTGTGACATATAAATGCCTTGAAATAATATAGAACTCATACTTTCCATATTATTCTGTTAGGGGGAAATAATAGGTAACTGAACATTACATTTAAAATTCATTGATCCATCTCAAAATGTAGATGGAGCAATCTATGCTTCTACATGGGAAAATATAAATTAACTCGAGACCCAGGTAAAGGCTTGTTACTGTGTAAAACAGTGTATGATTATGGGAAATACGTTTATCATTAGAGTAGAGTCAGTGAAAAATGCAGCACTTGACATGTTTTTATGTACAAATGTCAGAATCATACAGGCAATGGTTTTTCCTTTGGGCCTCTATAGAAACAAAAGTTGGACTTTAGAGAAGCAGGGATAGAAAGGGTATTGTGCTTTTGTATTTTGATGTTGGAGAAGATTCTTGAGAATACTATGGATAGCCAAGAAAGCAAATAAATGGATCACAAAACAAATGAATTCAGAGTTCTCACTTGAGGCACAAATAACTAGTCTCAAATTATCATATTTGGGCACAATATATGAAAACCCAGCTTACTTGAGAAATCTATTATGCTGAGAAAGGTGGAAGGAAAGAGAAGAAGATGATGATCAGCCCTGAATGCCCCTTTTGGGGCCTTAAAGGATCATCCTGGAGAAGGTCTATTTACGTGGACACTTAAGAGTCAACACCGATTTAATGATACATCAATCAATCAGTCAAGTAGAATGAGGAAAAGTACTATAGCTAAGCATATATATTTGCAGTAGCTTCATATGTGTTATCTCAGGCATTCCAATGATCCTGTAAGGCCTATATTACCCTGCCTATGTTATTGTATTTAGACATCTCACATGTTTCACTGTGCATTTTACCGGATACAGAAGGATAGTGCACATATATGATAGTTCTTGAATATTTGATTGGTGACTTTTTTGAGTGGGGCATCAAGAAGACATTTTGGTTCTCTGATTTAGTTTAGATCAAGATCCACATAGTTTCTTTGTTTCATTATAAGCAAGAGCACTGTTTACCTTTACCTTGTTAAGACTAATGAAATAATAGCAGGTATTAGTGTTGCACATATTACAGTCTATTTGAATGTAAACAGCTTAGTAATAAGAGAAGGAAAGTCTTTATAGGTAAGCGCTGAGATACAGGTTTCAAATAAACAATTTGGTGTTGGATCTGAACGGCAGTCAGTTAAAAAAAACATTTGAATAATCTTTTTCCTTTTAATTGTATATAACTAAGTGTATTTTGAAAATAACACATATTATTTGAAAGAAACATCTTTCTTATAGGAACAGCCCTGCTGAATTAGCTCAAAGGCCATCTAGTTTAAAATTCTGTACTTACCATGCCCGCTTATCTGCCTTATTAAAGCCCACAAGCAGGACATGAGAACAGAAGCATTCTTCCACACATGTTCTCTCTTTTTGAAATTTGAGACCTAAATTGCCTTTGATTCTGGGATGAAATTTAATATTATTTTGATAGCTTTTATTGTCCATGATTTTGTCTAATCCTTCTTGAAAGCATCCAAGCTGATAGGTAGATTAAGTTTAGGACTGCCTGTCTTCTGGTCATTTCCATGACCAGCTATTTTGTGTCCCAGTTGTTGGAGGTATTTAGAAAGTTATCTTCTTGTTGTAACCCAAACATGCATTTAATGCATCTGCAGGAGTAAAGTCTTAGAGCATTTCCAGTGTGCTCCAGTATGTAGAGAATTACAGGAATATGTTACAGTGGCTGTAGAGCTGCCACCAGAGAATGGCAGTGAGTCATTTATGTTTTGACCCAGGGTGCTTGATTCTATTCTTTTTCCCCTGCTGCTCACATCTACATGAAAGCATTGGGAACAGTTATCCGGGGATTTGGAGTACTGTGTCATCAATATATTGATAGCACTGAACTCTGTTTCTCCTTTCCATCCGAACCAGGAAAGGCTGTGCAGATGCTTGCAAGTTGCCTGGACGCAATAGTGGACCAGATAAAGGCAAAAAACCTGAATGTAGATAAGACAGAGGTACTGTGGACAAGTAATTCTCAGACCAGGGAATTTGGAAAGTGTCCTGTTAACAAGATAGTGCTCCTTCTGAAATAACAGATACATAGCTTGGGAGCACTCCTTGATTCAAATCTATCATTAGAGGCAGAAATGGCCTAAATGGCAAGGAGGGCCTATGCCAAATTTAGACTGCTTCCACCCTATCCTTTTGGGATTGCTTAGTCTCAGTAATGCTTACACTGATCATTTCTTGGTTGGATTACTGAAATGCCCCAAAGTGCAGCTGGTGTAGAAAACAGCTACTCAGTTGTTAAATTGGATGGCTAAAATGGCTCATAGGATATCAAGCCCAGGAACACTACACTAGTGCTGCTGGGCCCGGTTTAAGGGCATGACACTATCAGGCCCTAAACAGCTTAAGATTCTGGCAATTAAAAAATTGCCTCCCCCAGTGTCATACTACCTATACAGTAAGATCAGTTTCACCTATGGATTTGGCTCACAACAGAGTGGCCAGGAATAGGGCCTCCTCAGTAGCAGCAGATCAGTCATGAAACATTCTCGGGAGGGATGTGCAACTTCATTTATTCTAGACCCAAGCCATTGCCTTCTATTTTGTTTTTCTGGTTTTTTTTTTAAATAACCTTGATTTTAATTTTTGTATTCACTTTTTTTAAGCATTGTGGTTTTATTATGGTAGTGTTTTTTATTGTTCTCGGTACAGACATTAAATCAATAAAATAAAAATGTTGAGCTTTCCATTTCTGTAATGCTGTTACCTTTGAATATTTCCCTGATTCATTCTTTATTGTAAGAGCATTTTAGTAAAAAGGTGATGGCATAGCCTTAATGCTGCTTTTAAGGCCTGGTACTGCCATGCATAGTGATTCTAAGGAGGAATTTTTTCCCTCTGAAATTTCTTGTTTTTAACAATATACCCGAGGTCTGTAATGCAAAGTCTGCGTGCATGGCAGTTTCTAAGGACACTCCCTTTGGCAGGCACAAAGGCCCTTCTTCCAATCTGATTTTTTTATCTGTTTACTTTAAATCAGAAGGGTGGACACATTGGAAGGGCCATCCATTTCCTGGAATACCTCTGAGACCTATATGAACCTAGAGAAATTCTTAAAGAATGAAAATGGAAAAATGAGTGTAGGCTAATGTTTTACTTTGTAATATGCCCTGGAAATAAAAAGGTACACAACGAATACAGCAAAGCAGTACCAATAATGTTTTGTTTGGCATAATAATGAATGGAAACCTAAAATAAAAAAAAATCAGAACCACTAATGCTTAAAAACTACAGATGCTTTTTTTGAACCCCACCTACTTATTCATCTTTACTCTATCGGTTTATGCAGTTGCAGCTTTCAAGAGTTTTGGTTGACTCCACTCGGTGGCAGTAATGTTTCATAGCTACTGAATGTTATAAAAATCTGCATGATGATGTCAAAGAGTAATCGTACGAAAACATCTAACCCAAGTGCTCTTTTCTCCTTCAAAATAGAAATTCACATACTCCTAAATTAATAGATCATGATGCAGCCCAATTGGAAATGGGCTCATTCCACAAACTGTCAGAGGCAGCTGCCACGTTTTTCTACAGCCATCTAGAATTCTCTTTGTCTCTGCAAATCTGACAATCTGTTTATAAACGGTTACTGAGGGTTTTTTTCCCATCCTCTGTTCCAAACTTTAGTTCATGATGCTTTGGCAAACTCACTTCAGAAATCAAAAGGCGTGGCAGTATAGTTAGATTCTTGCCTAAAAAATCAGAATTGGATAAAAGTTTATTACAGTTTATGTATCAGATTTGATGCATAGATTGGTAGTAAAATGGATGAAATATTTAGTCTTGCATGCATTAATTTTTAACCTTCCTTGCCCTCACACCCAGTTACTTGTATATTTTCTTAAATTAATATTCCACCCTCCACCCATGATCATTCCAACATGTGCAGTTTAAGCCTGTTTTTATTAGAAGTGTGAGTAGCCTTTGTGTTGTTGTTGTTCAGTTGTTAAGTCGTGTCCGACTCTTTGTCTTTATGCTAGACTTCATCAAAATAAGAGCAACACTGAAGCTACTTTCCAGAGTTCTTTCATCAAGCATTCATTCTCCTGGAGAGTTCATGCAACTCTCTCAAATTCCATGCAGGTCACTAAATGAGGAACTCTGCTGTTTTTATCTAAAGGAGGAGGTTGTCAGATCTAGTCAGTTTTTCTAATTGTTAAAAATTGTTAATTGTACCTCTATACACCCACAATCAAAAAGCATATGAAGCTGCATTTTGCTGAAAGTGTGCAGGCCTGAGCCAGATCAATATTACTTTGATAGGAGATTCTTGGGAATCTCAGTGTGGCATGATGAACTTATTAAGCAAGAGGAAATATATGCGTAATTAATAATGATAGACTTATGAAATTTCATGTTGCGTATCAGTCTGAGACAATATTGTCTTACTTAATCCTGAAATAAGTTGTAACAAGATAGAGAAAATGGGAGGCTTGTAATAAATGGTGGGTATATATAAATTTTTAGTACTCAAAGCCATACACTGTGGTTAAAAATGCCTTTTAAAATAGCTATCCAAAAATGATCACTAAATAATAACATTATGTAATGAAACCTGTCAAATATGACTGGATATTTTTTGGATACTTGGAGTTATGCCATTGAAACCAGTGGTACTTTTGATTGTATAGATTCAACTTGGAAAACATATTGAAATTCAGTCAAATATGTTCGGTCACAACATTATTGCAGAACATGGCCTCTGTTTGGCTATTTTTCTCATTCTGTGCTTTCCTCTTTGCTAGACTTTCACAAAATTTAATAAAATGTGAAAGCCCAATATAGTTTTTAATTTAATGACAGCTGCATGCTATAGCAAAATACTTGCTAGGTACAATTGCCCTTTCTCTTGCTCCTTTTCAGAAGGTTTTTTTTAAAAAAAAAAAAAAAACAGGCCAAGTGATTCCTTGAAATCTCTTTATGTTTGTATCTTTTAATTCTAAAAGCATGGTCTGTATGTCTAGAGGAGAATTTTTTAGTCAGAAGAAGGAGAGGGAGAATATGCTGGTTGGCATGTCCCTTCTTGCTCCTTCCTGTCAGTGACTTACCCATGAACCGGATGTGTATATAAACTTTAGCATGGCTGGTGTTCAGAATCAAAATTCCAGTTAGTATATAGTGGAACACATGCTGTTAAATCTATTTTCTGACGTAATGAGCATCTTAATATCTGCTTTCTTATGTAGGCTGGTGGCCTTGCATTCTTTGTATCAAAATTTCAGACTTGCACTAAGGGTTTTTTTTTCCCTACCTCAGAAAGTGTTCCACCTCATGTTGAGCAGTCTTTCACAATCTTTAAAGCTTACTGAATGTAGATGTTGATAAAGTATCATTTTTAGGGAAGAAGATGTTGTTTTAGTAGATAAAATATCTTCTGCCAGAGTATCAAAATATGTAGTTAGATTCCACTACAGTATCTCTGTAGCAAACGTAGACTTGCCCAATCTGGACAGACTTTAGCTCCCAGAAGTCCCAGTCAGTATGGCTGTTACTGAGAATGCTGGGGATAGAAATCTACACATTGAAAGGGCACGAATATTAGGGAATATTGTTTTAAGTAGTTGGGCAGAGAATCAGATCATTCAGTGCAGTTATATTTGCCTGGGAGAATAGGACATGGAGTCCATATTTGGCCTCTCAGAGGTAAAGATTTTAAAACTCTGTTTGGGAGTCAGGAAAGAAACAACTACTGATAGAACTGTGGTGTGAAGAAATTGTGGAAGTCAATAGAAGCAGAGCTCTCTGTGTGTTCTGATGATAGGTGGGAGAGGTATAATGGGGGAGAAGAAGGTTCAGGGTAGCCACCCCATAATTGTTTGCAAGATTGATTTGCTAGTTACTATTACTGGAGAAATGGTGTTTTAGGAGTGCTGGTGTGGGGGGTTTTTTGTTTGTTTTTTTCACATTTACTTAAGTCCTTTGGCTCTTTCATATGGCAGCTTCTGCTAGAGATCTCTTCTTGTTGAAGACCTTAATGCAGGTAGACTTTCTAAACTTTGTCATTTTCAGATTTGTCCAATATGTGCAGCATTACCTGGAGGGGATCCCAATCATGTAACGGATGACTTTGCAGCTCATCTTACACTGGAACACAGAGCTCCTAGAGATTTAATATCCTTTCCTAAATCAAGAAGAAACAAGATAATTGTTGTTGAGCATATTAAAGAAATTAATTTTGAACTAAATTATCCTATTAACTTATAGGCACTGTCCAAGTGAATATGATTTGAGTTGCTAGTTATGTCCAAGAAGCTGTGGTTCATCACTTTGTGTCAAATGGAGTACTAATGGTTAGCCATAAAATAATAAATTTATTTTCCTACCCTTAGACTTTGAAACTTGTTACATAAACAGTGTGATTAAAGCATTAGACTGGGATGGGAGAGTCAAGTTAAAATCCCCAGTTTACCATATTGTTCTCTCAGTGACTTTTGGCCAGTCACTGCCTCTCAGCCCAACATTATTGTGAGACTTAGGAAGATTCCTAAGAGATCTGTCTTGAACTCCTAGAAGAAAGATGGAGTATACATGTACTAATAAATTCCTATTTGAAGAATTGTTCCTAGGGAGCTATTCAGGTGAATAGTTTCCAATAACTTGTGTTGCAATATAGTTACTGTGTGCTTATCTAAACTAGGTGTTCTATAATACATGTGTATTGTTATCATGCTTTTGGTATAGGAAACAATGATCTGACTGCTGTGGTTTAATTTACTGAATATTGTTTAAGCACAAAGAGCAATTGTTTAATCAAGAGATCTTCAGATAAAAATGCCTAGTTGTTCAACTGCTAGGATAATTTTATGATTTGATTGTTAATGAGTGTTCCTTGGCCACACTTCAAGGTGTTTCAGAGCACAGTTAAGCAGAATGTTAAACCTTAAATTTGTATGTGATGATATCATGATGTAAGTAGGGCTATTTTATATGGCCATTTCAAGTCATTGGCCATGAAACTTTTGATGTATTATAAATCTCAAGATGAAGCTCTGTTTGATCTGTATTTCATGATGATTATTTATTGCATAGGTCTGCCTTAGTCTGAGGATTCTTCTAATTATATAACTTAAATTAAAAATGAATCCATGAAATAACAAATAGGTTTTCCTCTGATCTTTACAGTACTTTGGGGACTGGGGGAGCACTAAGGTTTTCTTTGTTTGCAACTCTGTGTGTTGACGCTTTTTCTTTAACTCATTGGTGACGATGAATCCAGCGGTGTTCGGCATGTACGTAGAATGTTTCACCCAGGTCGAGGATTGGGTGGCCCTCGCGCACGTAGATCAAACATGCACTTTACTAGCAGTTCCACTGGTGGATTTTCATCATCACAGAGTTCGTATTCTCCAAGCAATAGAGAAGCCATGGATCCTATAGCTGGTAAGGGTTATGATTATTTGCACATTACCCTTTTCCTGCATATTGGCATGTTTTGAATCAAGCAAAACTATTTTCTAAAACAAGGATATTAGTGATATAGTGTTATTGCACCTTGTGGAACAGTCATATTCAATATTGTTAGTTGAAATTATTAATTACCAAGAGGCCCCATGTCTTAAAGATTGTCAGTATTTAGGACTATTTTACACAGTAGTAGTAAAACCAAAAGTTAATGGAAAGGATTTTCTGGGTACTGGCCAAGGCCTTGGTTTTGTTATAGTGGATTTTAGACTATTTTCCCTTTTTCTGTTGGCAGAGCTTTTATCTCAGTTGTCTGGCGTAAGGCGTTCTGCAGGGGGACAGCTCAATTCCTCTGGTCCTTCCGCGTCTCAGTTACAGCAGCTGCAGATGCAGCTGCAGTTAGAAAGACAACATGCACAGGCAGCAAGGCAACAACTGGAGACTGCACGCAATGCAACAAGGCGCACGAATACCAGCAGTGTCACCACCACTGTTACACAATCTACAGCAACAACCAACACGTCTAACGCAGAAAATAATCAGCAGGCTATCCAGAACTCTCAGTTCCTCCTTACCAGGTAACATATTCTGGAGAGATGGTCATGATTATTCTTGATTCTGTTTTGCTCCATGCGTTCAGAGCTGCTTTTGCAGTTTGTGGATTGTAATGGCATCCTCTTCCCCAGAAGCTTGCTTTTCATTCAGCGTGGAACATCTAGCTAACATGGAGAGAGTGCTTTTCCTATTACTATTTCTATGTATTGTAGATACTGTACGCTTATATTCTGGAGAGCAGCCAGCGGTTTAAACTATAGTGCAACACTAGAGGCTGAACATATGTCTTGAAACTTACTGAGCAGTCTGAAGGCTGTTGGATATGAAAGGTTTGGCAGTTGCGTGAAGCTGCAGTTTGAATTTCATTCAGCTTGGTTTTGTGGGTGTCTAATTTTTATTGATCAAAATTTACCAAATAAACCCACACACAAACACATATGAATGATTTATCTCATGGATATACTATTACAAGTACAAAATATGAATAATTTGTTTTCTGTAGCAGGTTTTTTGAGAATTGGTATATCCGTTGATCCTTATCAGTGTCAACCTATAGTAAATTTTGCAGTCATATTGTGTATTATTTTTTAAACAATCTAGAAAATCTAAGAAAACAGAGTTACCTACCCCATGCTTCTCACTTTCTAAATTTGGGAATCAGTGTGATTGAGAGAGAGAGAGATATAATATAATTTTACAGCCTTTTGTAATATGAATGGAAGCATTTAAAAAAAAAAGTTAAAGAGTAAATTTCTGTGGATTAGAGTAAATTTCAACACGTACGCATGCATATGTGTGTCTGTGTGTGTAGAAAAAATAAGTAGTTGAGTCAAATGATAATAAAAAGAATAGCATGTAACAACTAAAGGCTTAAATGTGAATAGGCACTATAATATTTTATATACAACAGCAGTAATCACAATGATACCGCCATCATCTGTATACATCATACTCTGCAGCAAATCTACATGTGAATATTGTCCCTTATCTACAGTCAGGTCCAGAAATATTGGGACATCGACACAATTCTAACCACTTTGGCTCTATTCCCCCCCACAATGGATTTGGAATGAAACAAACACAATGTGCCTTAACTGCAGACTGTCAGCTTTA